CGAGTTAATCGATCTAGGCTCGTATAGAGTAGACATGTTCGTAAAAGTATTGTCTATGAGTTGCTTGATTGAATGAGTTTGTCATTTATGTGTGTGCTTTTGTTACGAAAAGTTATTGAGCATAAACCTCTCGATGTGTAGTCTTGTTGAATCACGTAACCGAGCAAATAAGCATTCAACATAGTTTAGGACTTGATGAGATTCCCGACCCCTAGAACTTCTTCTAATTCTCTAGCAATTTAATTGTTATTTCATTTATTTGCTTTTCTAGTTCAAGTTAGTTTTAGTTTATTTCCCAAATCAATCGTGATTGGAGTGTTTAGGAATTATTTTTCTTTTGTGTGCAATCAATATCATTTCTAAATTCTAAACCCCCTTCCTCGAGAGATCGGCCCGGGGAACGAATGCTCCGATTCAGTACTTGGTAAAAAATAATTTGTTACAACAAATTTACAATTCTCGGCGACTCATGGTGGTGGTCGACGACGGAAGACGGTGGTCGTGGGTGGCCGGGTTCTCACAATTAAATGGCTCGAATAAATTATACCTTAAAGTCTTCTAATGTATTACCTAAACACCTACTTCGATTAATCCTGGTGGTGCGATTAATCGAATCTTCCGAACTCTCGAATATATGAAGATCGTGATTTTCCTCTTCCTATGGAACCTTAAAATTGAGCTCTCAAGTGTACTAGTGTAACTCATCAGTCAAGACCAACTGTACGGTTAACACTACAACAGTTCATGGTGGGTTGTTCATTTCCATCTAGGTTGTGAACCACTATTCTTGTTTCGCAAGTTACTGATAAAATGATCTTTTGTTCACCCGCTAATGAACCATTTTATCTAAGTGCAAAACAACAGACCATGGACTTATTTAATGAAACATGATTTACATTCAAACGGGTTCAGTGTAAATACGTCTAAAGCCAAGCTTTCAGTATATACACCAACATTAACTACATTTGAGTATAACTATTTGGTTGTTTAATTGTTGGCTTTTCTTAATATTTACTGGAATTAAGTATAAGTAGGGTTAGATATGGAAGCAATAACACACGCACTATTTTTCGATCACGTAGGGGATCGACAAAGGAAAGTTGTATTATGTATGAGTATATTGTTGTACTGGGTTGTATTGTGTTAGTGGGGTGTATTGTGTTGTTGCTATGAGGTCCTTCGTGCATCATTTGTACACTGGTAAGAAAAATATAAAAATGATAGCAAGTCACCTTAGGGGCTAGATGGTCGACACGTGTTGTCATGCAAGTTTCAACTTTTAAGGATGGGACATGCATTATTTTTTATGCTGGGACTAGTTGGATGGTCACTTTATAGATTTCTCTATCTACTTCCATTCACACGCTGCAGAGAGATCGCCTATGGCTATCAGCAGGAGGATCGACACTCCAATTAATGAGAGATCGGCACAACTCCAAGGCGTAGTTCTTGGGCTCATTTTGTCTTCTCTACGTGCTGGAACCATAGGTTCTATGGATTTGGGCCAATGTTTTATCGTGTTCTCGGATAGGCCCATAGATTTTTTTTTTATTTTTTAATTTTTGTTTTTTATATGTAACTTGTAAAACGACCATGTACTACACGAGTGTTTCATAAAAAATAATTTACAAAAAATGAAAAATATAAATTTCTTATTGTGAATTAAAAAACTAAAAATAATTGATAAGAAAATATTTTTAATATTATTTTGAATTCTATAAAAATATTTTTATTAGGTATTATTTATTTTATTTCACATTTATTTTATTTTTGTTAAAATTAAATATATTAATTGATTTATTCAACAGTTAAATCACGGGCGCTTAAAAGTTAAATATTTGTGTCAAAATAAATAAATGAAGAAATATTTATTCTCATAGTAGAATGGTAAAAAATTAAATATAAAACGAATAACTAAAAAATAACTAAACATTTAAAATAATACTCTTATTTTATACTCAATTTGTTAAATGATAGTTTTCTAAACAACACACACATACACACACTCACACACACGCACACACACACGCACACTTACACACACACACACATACATATATATATACTAGATTTGGTCACGCCGTGCACGCACGGCGGTCTAACACCCGGTGTAAAACTACATTGAAAATTTGTCATAAGTTGTTGCAACTTCTATTCTAGCGTATGTAACAATTGTTCACATATATTGTGTCTTTTTTGTTTTTATGAAAATGTTTTAAGATTTTGCTCTTTTGAATTTCACCAGTGGTTTATGAGTTGCGAGGTTGCAGTTCAGTTGCAGCTCTCTACATATTTTATGCCTATTAAGTTGACATGGTCTCAAATGAATCAGCTTGAGAAGAGGCGATGCTTTGTGAATGGCTGCATCACACCAAGCCTTCTCAAAGATGTTGGTAGTCATTTGTGCCGGACTACTCTCAAACAGCCTCGGGCTGAATCAAAAGCTCTGTTTATGCGACTGGATTTCAATCCAACCTTCTCAATACGTACACAATTTGGACGAAGAGTATCAAAATCAACTTTTTTTTAAGTTATATCCAAATTCATTTACCTCTATTTGTAAAAATCTTTCAAGCTTTGCTGAAAATAACTAATTGACAAATCTAGTTGCAAGTTTAGATTCAACTGTATGTAATGATAATTGTACAAATCTAGTCTATCTAATGCACAAAATGGTTATACAAAGATTGTTGTATGCCTACACAGCTGCCACAGGCCAGTCGCAAAATAAATAAATTTTAACATCATTTTGTTAATAATTGTATATTACAATAGTTGGCATGGCAAATAATAATTACCTAAAATAAAGGCAATAAAAGTACTGTTAGGTCCAAATTGAGTAGAATGTAATTCTGATTTTCATTAGCAGCATTACTACCGTTCAAATTTTAAAGAATAAATACATTCACCTTGAGTTAACTTACAAAACACCTCATTTTCAGCATAATAACTCAATACATTACCTGATCCATAATTTCCTTATGGTGTTGCTCCATAGTGGAAGCCATGGCAAGAATCTCTCCCTCCAACCTGTTGATATTTAATAAAGGCTATATTGTGATAATTATCAAATCCTAAATTACTGAAATAAATTTTATAACTAAAAGAGTTCATATTACCATATATCATTATAAAGCAATCTTTTCTGATATATCAACAGATTATATAACTCCCACGTAATTTGATTCTCAGTTAATTGAGGAATCAACTAAATAGTACATCTCACTCCCTAGACCCTCAAGTACATAAAAGAAATCTGAACAATTATCCAAGAATAACATACATTGAGTCCCAATTGTACAATTCAATTTCCAGCACAAAATATTACCGCACAACACACAAAATGTATATGAATCAACAGATAAAACATAAGCAGCTAACTTTAAGCAACAATTTCAGTTTGAGGATGCATGCACACAGACACACGGATTTAAGCGACCTCACAACCCATAAACCAGTAGTGAAACTCAAAAGAGCAAAATCTTAAAACATTTCTATAAAAACAAAATTTATATAAGGTATGTCCAGGTCCATCGACCCTCGAGTGCATAAAACAAATCTAAACAATTATCCATGAACAAAGCACATGAAGTCCCAATTTTAAAAGTTGAACTACCAGACAACATAGAATGCATACGATCGAAAAAAAATATAAACTGCTAATGTCAGGCAACAATTTCTTTTTGGGGGAGAAAAAATGTTTTTTATGGACCTTGAGAACTTGGGTTTCTTGTTGGGACAACGTTCACCTGAAACAAAAAAAAAAAAAAAAAAA